GAAATTCGGTAGCATGTACCATTTTCGAGAAAAATGAAGTTGCATAGAAGGAAATGGGGGACAATTTCAGTATCTACTGTCGTATTTCGAGTTTGCACATTTATTTAATTGTGCAGCTGTTTTGTTCTGTCTGTTTCCTAATATTTTTCTGTTCTTATCACTTTTTTTAAGCATTCATGTCCATCAACAATTCAGTCCATTCAACAATTGTTTATTTTAGTAATGGTAGTGTAGTAGTTTACAAAATCTAAAATTAGTTAATAATAGATAATTAATTACCATAATCTGTTTATTTTGTTTTACTTTTTTAAATGTTAGTTTACAACAAACTGAAACTTAAAATAAATTTTAATTTTTTTTTAGTTAATAAAATGTTTTACAATTTAACTGTTTCATGTGATAAAATTATAATCATAAATGTAAATAAATACTGTTAGTAGCTAAATGCCTTGATCAATGGGAAGATCCTCTTTCAATTTAATATATTGTTAATGTACTTGTGCCGCTTTATGTGAAGAAAAAAAATGAAACTTAATTTTTCTCGAAAATGGTACATGCTACCAAATTTCGACAAGTATAATTTTTTTGTAATATCCTTTAGAGTTTACAGAACCGTTTAGAAATGTAATAAATATTGACTTTTAACATATTTATTTATTTTCTTCGATTGTACCCCTTCAATTACCTGTATCGGCGACACTGCTTTTCAGAAAGAAACCGTTTACACATTATTCTTAACGCACAGTTGATGTTTACTCGTCTACAAATTTTGACATTTTCATCTTTAGCCTAATTAAAGATAATTAAGGAAAACCACTTAGATAGTAACAACTTCAACGCACTGTATCTCGAAAACAAGGCGTCTAAGAAAAAAAAAATTACATGAACCTACCCCTATTATTTTCCCACGAGGAACATGCACATAAGTTTTTTTGAAACATGAACGGGACATATCGTCAACATTTTTTTTAAATTTGTAGCTTTTGAAGTGGTACGAAAATTTCTTCATGCGAAACCAGAAGGATACAATATAAATATCAGATTATAACAAATAATTAATATCACGACATTGATGTCACAATCACGTGTTAAAGAATATAGCGTAATAAGTTGTAAACATTGGGATTTGAAAAAATATACTGTTTCTTCTTCAGAAAAATAAAGCTCTAGATCTAAGACTAATTCATCACAAAAACTTGTTGATTATTTTGAATTACCAACTACTTAATATCACATAATGCTGAAGATAATACACTGTAAAAAAATCGGTGTGAATGGAAGTAATAAAGGTACGGGGTAAATCCATTGAGTGAAATTATTGAGTACATTTTCACCCAATATTGGGCATTTTGATTATTTTACTCGTTTGTGATAATATTTGAACTAAAACTGAGTACTTTCACTCCAATATAGTTAAATAAATTCTGCAGATAAACTGGTATTTGATGCACTAAATCGGAATAAATATCCTCATTATTGAGTGACCCTACAGCATTCTATGGTTGTCGTGCGTTGTCTTTGTCTATTCCCATCGTCCCCATTAGGTCATATCGTGGCGTGGTGTACGGCGTGTAGTGCTGGAGAAGTGTCCGTTAATCCGGTTATTTGGTGAAAACTATGTGTAAATGCAGTGGTTTGACTACAATAATTAAAAACATTAATATATTGAGTCCCTCAGAATAGAGTCACTCACTTGGTAGCAAAAACTCGGATTTGAGTAAAATTCACTCACTATTGAGTAAAATTGAGTGAATTTGAGTGAATTTTTTTTACAGTGTATACAATAGTATTAACTAACAGTGGATTTCATAGGAATCTGCTCACCTAATGGTCGTTCTAGCGTTTTGCTGGGGGTCCGCACGACAGGAAGCGAACTACGCTGTTTGCCGCCCCTCCGGAAGCCCGTCGAGCTGGTCTCCACTTCCGACATGATGCCGGGATCGTCGTCGAAGAGCATCGCGTTCGAGGGGGGCGGATATCCTCTGGGCTGACCCTGCCGTCAAAATGAACGTTAGAAATCATCGAAAATATGGAGGAAATTCGTGAAATAAGGGCAGGGTTGGTTGGGATTGAGGGATAAGGTGACTAAACGGTGACAGAAAAACTAATATAGGTGCCTCGTGACCTTTTGTCGTGTTTAGATTTGTGGTACCGTTGTGCAGAAAAAAAAGTTTAGACCCAATATGTTTAAAAGGGCTAAAGAAAAAATAAAGTTCTCTTTTGTCTATAGATGTACAAACAAATCCTGGCTACTAACTTGGGTGGTTTTCAATATACAGGGTGATTCACAACTTATCCAAAAAAATTTGGGAATAGATGCGGCATGAGAAATGGAGTCAATATTGTAAAAAAAAAATTTGTAAAATCCTTATAGATTCTGAGAAAAAAGTTATTGAAGTTATAGCACATTAAACCACTACATAGCTGGACAACTGTAATCTCTAGCGTCATTCGCAATACGCGTGGAGAGCCATGTGACTGCTAATACTGAAATCCTTCGTTGAGGTAGTTTTTACCTGTTATCTGTGGTATTTACATCAGTTTTTTAGTAGTTAGTGTCAAAAATGGCTTGCGTGTATAGCAACTCAGAGTTGATGGATATAATGGTTTTAATTTATGGTGAAGCAAGACAATATTTGTATTATGGTGAAGTATTTGTGTTATGGTGAAGCAAGACATCTTTTGTGTTAGTTCGTAGAAAGTGAGTAAGACGGACCCGAATGTGTTTACACGTGAGTGGATAAAATTTTGAACAATTGCTGTTGCAGCATCGGGTATGTCAAATGATTTTATTATTTAAAAACACAAATTAATTTTATTAATAATTAATAAAGGCAAATGCATTTGAATTTGCCGATATAAAATAGGTGCGATAAAATTCTATTTACATATTTCTTTCATTGCGAAAGTTTTTGTCCGTTTTTATCACGCCGCCATACCGGTCGCATTGTGCGAGGTCAGGTTTTACAGTGGACCAGTTTCCAGTGCCGTGCAGAAGTGTATTTTTAAATCAATTTCGAACTGACCTTTTTGATTTTTTCTTTACAAAATTGTATTTATAAGGGTTCCCTGTACATCCAGAATTTTTTTTTTGGATAAGTTCTGAATCACCCTGTATATGCGATTTTTATATCCATCTTTATATCTTGGTTATAATAAAAATTTGCGCTGTACTACGTGAAACACTATTTTTAATATACAGTGTGTCTCAGGAAAGCTAAAACGACAAAGGAGAAAAAAGTTGGTGTTAAAAAATGGCCATTTAGGATTCAGCATTGCTTTTCTAAAATCCAGTAAGCTTTAGAAATTTAGAAAAATCTGATTTTTCTCACCAATAGAGTTATTTTTGTATGAAATATGACAAAATGCAAATATGAAAAGTTTTTCGGATTTTTCTCAAAGCAGGTATATTTCGTTCGGAAAATCTTTTTTTAATGTTTTGCTTTATCTCGTACAGAAATAGTATATTATTCAACGAGCGTATAATGATGGGTATTATTCACGAGGTGAAGTTTACGGCCACGAGCAGCAGGCGAGTGGCCTAAATCACCGAGTGGATAATAGCCATTATACAGGAGTAGAATACTATACTTTATCCACGACTACTAAATATTTTTGTTGAAGTTTTTTTTGTTTTTAGTTCGTTTTTTAACACAATTTAACACAAAATATCAAAACACTGAGAAATCTATGCACACAAACAATAATGTTGACAGGTTTGAGTCAAATTTGTTTTGTTTTAAAAGCCACTTAGATTTATGAAATGTTTCGAAAAACATGGTATGTTAAGCAACAGATATACGACACGCACAAACGAAGTCGCTGATGGCTAAGTGTAGATGCTCCTTCCCTTCCAACCGCTGGTCCCGGGTTCGAATCTGGTCTAGGAAAATTCACTTTTTTAATTTTTTTTTTATATGTACAGCACTGAATTGAAAATATTTAGTGGTTTACACGATAAAATTTAAAAAACCGACTGTTTGTAGCAGAACAATATAATATTATAGCTAAATCAAGGAAGCATCTGACAGTAGTGATTAATGACTCATTAATCACTGCCGTGATTAATGGGTATTAATAAGGTCGAGCAAACAGACGTATAATGGGTACATTATACAATAGTCGTGAATAAAGGTATATTATTGGAGAAAAATCGGAAATCCATAAAAGAAAATCAAGGTATAAAATAAATAAATATTTTAATTTGAGAAACTTTGTTAACATTTTGTGTATATAGTACAGAAATAGTACTTTACTGGTGAATTAAATTCGATTGTTTTTAATTTCCAACGCTACGGATTTTTAATTACGTCGCATTTTATTTCACAAACAACCAGAGCTAAATTCCATTATTCAACATCATTTTTTGTGTTTTGTAAGAGTTGATTCGTCTATTCGGGCACACCCTGTATCACGGACTTCTAGTAAAGTTCATTATGCCCAATGAACTACTTCATAAATGTTTACAGCATTGATTTTTTGTTTTTTCGCATACAACAGAAAGCTCGCAAATTTTTAAATTTTACTCTCATTTCATTCATTCATTCATTCATTCATTCATTCTATAAAAATTTTGTTAAAATTGAATGCTTTTATGAATACCCTTAAATGTACTGAAACATTTAAATGTTGTGTCACACATTTTTTAATTTGACATTATTATCACCTACAGTAAGGTTAATATACAGGGTGGTTCTTAAATATGTTTCGACATTAAATAGACTGATTATGTGTCATTTTAAGGAAAATAGTTTCAGCACAATTTTCTATAAAATTATTTGAATATATTCGTAGATCGTCGAGTGGTGACTACACTAAATAAAGGTATAAGTTTACTAAATTTGTATACAACGATATTTGATGGCAGAGATACTACGAAAGAGAAGAAGAACCTTAAAATTTTTATGCCAACAAGTTCTTTGCAAATTTAATCAGTTCATTTGATTCATAACTGTATTTTTCAGAGAAAGAAGTTTTTTTAGCATAAAAATAAATTTGATATACTTACAGTTGAATAAATAGAAGATTATAATTCTGATAGTTTTTTCAAAATTCAGAAAATTCAGTCAAATTACAAAAAATGTATCGAAATTTTTACGTCAATGATTTTTTTGGATTCTTAATGGCTGTATTGTATTTAAAATTATATTATATTTACAAAAAAAATCCTTTAACTATTTTTTATTGTGAAATTAACAATTTTAGAGTTATTTTAGATTTCTGTGTAGTAAGACAATTTTAGAATCATAGAATTTCCAAAATACCCAGTGACTTCAAAAGTCGGAGGTATTTAGATAGAGAAAGTTCATTAATTTACATCAAATATCTTCAGGGATATATGCGTGAGGTGTGATTTATCAAAAACTTTAACACTATGTGTTTTAAAAACTATTTCGTTTAAAACATAAGTCCATAGGATGGTCTTTTGTTCTAAAATATTCTAAAGAATTACCATCTTTGTTATCAAAACATACAAGAATGACTCTACACAAAAAAAATATTTTCCCGATAATTGTCGACTCATATCACAAAATGTGAACAAATTCTTTATTTAATGGTATCTTTTTTTTTGAAGAAACACCATTGAAATTATTATAATGAAACGCTGTATATTTTTACGATTTTTTTTCCACTTTTTTACCTTTCCAGCAATATTCATTTAATTTTTCCCGTAATTTGTTGCCATTTACAATTTTATTTGGAAGACATCTCGCGAAATATTAACAATTTTATTTGGAAACTATGATATTTAGTTTGTATGTAGCATAAATTTTTCACATGAATTATTCCGTCATACTCAACACTAAGGAATGTGTTTGAACAACCAACAATATTATGAACACTTTCAGTAAACATGCATATCTCCAAACGACATGGTAAATTAAATAATCGAGTCAATTAAAACATCCACTGCAACAATTTTAAATGGTCATTGAAGCACATAAATTAATTTATTAGTTCTCAACGAAACGAACACAATACAATTAACTTAACTTTTTGAATATACCCGAGAAAATCGATGCGATGTTTTAACGACAATCGTTTGTTTTATTTAATTTTCAGCTGGTACAAAGAGAAGGGAACTACTATTTACAAAGTTTACGTACGTAAAAATGATGTCAAGGACAAAATGATGGAATGCGCATGCGCAGTGGTTTTTTATACACGTTTTTAACAGTCATTTTAATGAGGTCTATGAACATATTTATGGAAATATTTAAAACGTTTGTATCTGTAATCTGGAGTTTTAAAATAGAAAAGAACTAACGTGTAGGATTGTTTTAATTTCGCGAAAGAAAAATATTATAAACAAATAAATACCTCGCCCACATGATTTAAAATAGAAGAAGTTACATATGTTTTCAGTTTATATTAAAAAAGAAATGTAAATATATAAGTAAGCTCTAATAAGTTAGTAGTTAGGTCACAGAAAGAAAATATGTTAAATTATTTTGTTTACACTAAGATTAATTTATTAATCTGTTACAGAGTTATATTAAAAATAACATTTATGGAGAATAATAAATCTATAATACACCAAATCTACAGTAAACTTCAAATCTACATGAGACTGACATGAGTGATGATCCTGTATTATTTGCTAAGAAAGGAAAAATCAAAACAAGGCAAATCCAGAACCACAAAACACTTTGATAATTTCACAGCAGCAAAATTATCCAAGAATTCGTCGTTCTAGACTCAATATTGGCTTTGAATGCCTGCAAGCTACTGTATAAGGTGAATGATACGTAATTATAAAAGTCATCCAAAATATTACACTTAACACAAAATAAGACATGCAGGACATGTACAGGGTAAACGAAAACTCACTAAGTACTGTTGAAAAAAGTCCCTTAGGTCTTTAGAACAATCGAAACCATGTAGCTATAAAAGAAAAAGTCATATCAGTTCATTTACAGACCCACAAAGTTCCTAAATTTGCTGCACACGCTTGCTAAAAGATCGTTATTCAAAATCCACAAAAAGTTCATCGCGGACTTCTTATAAATTCAAGAAGTGTGGAGAAATAATCATTTATTTGTTTGAGACCTAAATACTAACTTACAGTTATTTAATATCTTTTTAGAGATAAGGTTATTCATAAACATTGGTAAGTCGAACTTTGAAAAAAATTGTATAGGATACAATGCGTTCTAATAAAATCTTGTCGCTGTAACTTTATACGGAGTGAATTGTTAAAAAATTGACCCAACAAGTCATTTTTTATTTTAAAATAAAAGTTGAGTTAATTTTAGAACCTCCACAAGAATTGATCTCGTTATCAGAGGCTGTATATAAAAGTGTTTTTGAGAATTTATTTAATTTCAGGTGCTTCTTATAAAAGTATCTACAAGTGTATAAAAACGCGCACGCGCTTTATCTCTACCAACAGGTGATGTGGAAATGAGTAGAAAATACAATTTTTCCGGTAGAAAATTTTTAAATTGTTGCTATATCCACTGACATTATAATTGTTTCACTTTTTTAATACAAGCTATAACTAATAATAAAAAAATTGTGAAACTGGTATATCTGAGTTTAATTTGTCCGGAATACAGGGTAATTCAATGACAATGCTATTAATTTTAACCACGTATTAGGAAGGTAGGTCAAGATTCACTCTCCAGAAACCTTTGTAGATCAGCGGTCAGCAGCGGTCCGAAAAGGAGTTTATAAAATGATTAGGAAATATATTTTTTTAAGTGTAAATATGTGAAAATTTTTTAATAGCGTATTCATATTCTACACATTTTTCCCCATTTTCCCTTAAAATTTATTATTTCTGAATCACCCTGCACATTATAAAATTACCTAAGTTAAAAGTATTATAACCATTGAAGAATAATTAAAAATAATAATAACAATAAGAAACATACTGATAACCTGCATCATTGCCAAAAAATTAGAAAAAAAAACATAAATAGTAATAAATTAATAGATCATACTGCTGACCTGTATATGAAAATAACAAATCATATTCTTGATCTGCACCATTGTTAATTAATTACAATATAAACATAATAATAAAATTAAATAATACATCTCATACTGTTGATCTACATGAAATAATAGTCATCAGTCAGTCAGTAAAATAAGGATGATAATCATACAGTAAAATAATCTGTCCCATCGAAAAGTGATTAAAAATAATAAAAGAATAGGTCATACTGCTAATCTAAATACCAAAGCAAAAATGAATAACAAAGCATACATTATAAGAATATATCATACTGTTTATCTGTGATGAAAATAATTATTATAAACAAGACAGAGGAACAGATTATACCGTTGATCTGCACAATTAATAAATAATAATAGAACAGTTATAAATAATAAATAAATATAAATATAATATAGATCATGCTGCTGATCTACACTGTCTAAGAATAAATACTAAAATAACAGATCATTCTGTTGATCTATGTAAAAATAAATAGACAGTAAAACAGGAGATAACACTGTTGATCTATACCTTCGAAAAATGGTTACTAAAAGAACATATTCTGTTGATCTGCATAATTGAAAATGGTTATTAAAACATCATCACATACCGTTGATTTGCACAGTTGATAAGTAGTAATATTTTAGATATAAATACTTAATAAACATACATACTTAATAAAGGGGAACAGATCATACTGCTGATCTACATCTCGACAGAATGTTACTGAAATAACAGATCATACTGTTGAATTAACCGTAAATTAGTATCAAAAATACGAGTATTAAAAGAATAGATCTATTCTTAGTATCTAGTATCTAAACTGTTGTTCTACCAACTCGCTATGCGTGATTAGAAGTTTACAAAATAATTATAAATAGAAGAATACCGCCGGGTGGTGTGGAAATGAGTACAAAATAATATTTTATAGGGTCAAGGACTTACTAGTTTTCCAAAAGAAAGTTAGTAAGGTCCGCTGCTGCTGATTTATGATTTAGAGCGCTTAGTGTGTATAGTCTCTCCGATCTCAATTGAAGACCAAAGAGCCAGGCAGTATGTACCAGGCTCGATCGCTATGCAGAAACTCGGTAGTGAAATATTTGAAAAACTTGTTCCCATATTTATCTAGCCATACCCATATACAGATCTGGTCGCCCAGTTGAAGAAAGCGCGGGCAAACGCCGCACACACACAGTCGCACTGAGCGACTGGCCATAAATTTCAGTTGTCGACAAATTACCTAGCAGTGCAGTGCAGCAATGCGGAATTTGGTGCGATTCAGATAATTTTAATTTATTATAGGCATCTTCTATTCATCATTCATATTACAATTGCGAATAAGAGCTTTTGTGAGTATTTTGTTTATTAATATTATTACAACATGGCATTTTGGAGACATTTTGAAACAGAACAAAACGAAATACCGCCAGACAATATTGAATTAGAAGAACCGGTTGTTGATGAAACAGATTTAGAATTTAAAAATAAAGATTTACATGCTCAATGTTTACGATTGCTTAAAAAACGAAGAAAATGAAAAATCAGATAATGAAATTATAAATAGAATTCACATATTAACTAAAGTTTCAGTTTATTAAACAAGATGTTATAGATCATTGCGTAGAGGAAGCGAAAACAAAAATTTTAAAATATCGATGACATGACGAGAGACATAATTCGGCGGACAATTTGTAAATTTATATAAAGAAAATTGAGGACATAAATAAATTAAAATATGTTGTTGGCCAAATGAACATATAGGTAACAAAAATTTTCTGCACATTATATACAAATTATGTTTATTTTTTACCTTTAGCAGAAAACTTTTTTAGGGACGCCTATGAAACTCATTAAATTTTATTGCTAGGAGTTTTTATATATCTTCAACTAATTTCGGAAAACCGGAATTTACACCCGGAGCCTTCATAATATCCAGTGCAACGTTTCGTTCAATATTTGCCATATAAAAGTACAAGGCCCGCGTAAATATTTACAACTCACGTGATCGCTGTGCTTAGGCAACCAACATTGCAGGCCTGGCTCTGTTAAGAAAAACCCCCTAAATCTTGGCATCACCAATATTAATGATTCGTTTACAATGAACAATGGCAAACCGTTACGGCTACGCTCGAGATAACGCGATCGCTGATTGGTTGAATAGAATCTCGTGAAAATTACACCAATCACAGCCGGTGAAACAAAATGTTGTGTTTTAATGTAATCTTGATTTTATCGTTTTTTTTTAATTATTAGGTACCGAAATTTAATTGCCCACACGAAGGAAATAAAATTAATGTTCCAAACAAAATTACCGATCACATGGTTTGTAATCATGTGTGAATACAGAGCAAAAATGGGCAATGAACATGCATAGAAGAGTAGAGTACATGGGTAAAGTAAAAATTTACCTGCTTTTTGGGTTTAGAAGAAACTGATTTATTGGGGGAGCGCAGCAAAATTCTTAAATTAAGGGGCTGCTCCTCCCTCAGCAAAAACGACGTTTCGGACAACTTTAATAAAGTCCTAGCTTGGCTGCCAAGCTTTACACTGGAGGCACTCAGATTCGCATTAACCGATTCGCTGCTATCTTCGCGGATGGCCCCGTCGCTAGTTTTCGAGCGAGTTCCGGTGTTTTGCGTGCCGTTGGGCTTTTTTGAGAGTAGCGGTAGCGAACGGGGTGTCATTTCCAGTTGAGGCGGAAGCGATATCAGACTGTGTGAGGACATCTTACAACAATTATATTTAGATATGCCTATTTCGGTTTGCGTAGCTGTTAAATTGTAGAAAATGTATTGGGTGTCCAAATAAGAATGGATATGTCAAGAATAGTTTATCGCTGAGCGTTGAGAAAAACAAATAGTAATAACGGCCAATAGAAGTCTCTGGAAATTAATTTAGAGTTTCTCAGTTCGCCACAAGTGTGATAGGGTGGGTCAAAATATTTTCATTGTAATTTTAAGTATGTTTTACTTCACTTCATTTAACATTTTAAATGTAACTCGTCAGATAAGGATTGGAGGAGAGGAGGAACGTTGATAACAATGCTTGTGACTTTGGTTTTCCGAAAGTAATTGATATCTTCTTAAATCTTAATTATATTATGCAGGAGATCATTTATTGAGTATGAAAGTAGAATATACATAGAATATGTCAATTCTGGGATACCACAAGGCTCAAACTTGAGCCCATTTCCGTTTCTTATATTTATAAATGATCTTGCAACAATATGTCTTGATGATCTCACATAGTAACACAGTTTCAAGAGAGGATTGCCTATCTCTACAGTATGTCATAGATCGAAACCAAAGATTTTGAATGCATTTCATATTTTATCCTAAACATACAGTGTCGACGACATGTAAGCAANTTCAAGAGAGGATTGCCTATCTCTACAGTATGTCATAGATCGAAACAAAAGATTTTGAATGCATTTCATATTTTATCCTAAACATACAGTGTCGACGACATGTAAGCAACTATTATATGTATACAACTGCAAAAATTTTTAAAATTTGGAAACTTATTATGAACTTGTTGGAAATAAACTTTTAATTTTGATTTTATTATATAAAACCTTGTTCCGAAAAAGTAGTTTTTGGAAAACTTACGAATTTTCCGCATTATCTTGAAAAATATTAATTAGAGTGATCTGTTTCGCTGATTAGGTAAAAAGGTGATAAAAGCAAAATTGTTAAACATACAGCGTGTCTAAAAGAATTAAATACCCACAAATATACAGGAGATTAGTAAATTAAACATTAATTGTGGTTTGTTTAATAAACATACGCTGCCGTAGTTTTTGTAACTGACCATGCTTACAGCGTTATCTTGTGATTAACTGAGGAACTCAAAAATAATTCACTTGGCCAATTTTACCAACAACTTTTTTCTCAGCGTTCTGGGACCTATGGGAACTATTCTTGAAACATGGGCGATGTCTTTT